TTAAGAGAGAGAGAGGCAATAATATAAAGTAAGCTAGAATACTTTAAAGTTGTTATTTAACCTTTCAATTGTCAGTGGAAGTATTGATGTATTTCTGAGTTCCTCACCACAGACTATAGGAAAACATGTACGTTACATTTCTGAAATAGATACTGCTTTAAGAAGCGCTATTAATGCAGTTATTAATTCTTTCTCCGAAGTTAGGTTCCAATAATCGTGGAAACTAGAAATAGGGCTTATTTCTTAAAACCAATAGCCAGGCATCATGATCATGTATCACTAGTTTAATGTAAATGAGTTATGACCTGCAACTATCCAAGGAATATATTATCACTGGCGTGGTATGGACGGAAGGACAGGCACTAGTGGCAGGCTTGTGTGAAATTGTCAGTGAACGTTTTGGTTTATAAGATGTTTGGAAATTCTGTAATAGTGGAGTGATTGTTAGCTTCTGAAGAAGGGCTCGTTTCCATGGCATTTGTAAGCCTAGGTCTGTGCAAGGCTTATTGTGGAATAACAGACTTAAGTGAGAAACTCATATATCTGCATCTGCTTCCCTTATTCTCTGTGCCTGTCCGCATGCCTATTCTTCAGTATGTATTAACCAGCTTTTTTATTCTTCCTTCTTGTGTTCGTGCTTGCCTCAGCCCACCTTCTACCTGGCATTGTTTTTAACGAGAATGCATGGGGCTTCCATTCGCATGAGGAAAAAGGAAAGACACAGTATTGACTTAACATGAGATATTTCAGTTAACGACATGACATATAATAAAAAGTGATCGTATTTATAGATATATTTCTGTGAAGCAAGTGAATTTCTTCTCTTACAGGCCATATTCTGGAGACTAAGATATCGTGTGATGTTGCTGATGTTGGTAGCCCTGTCTCACCAGCGATAGAAATCAACGGCAATGTGACAAGTCAGACTGAATGAGGAGGGAACCAACAATGGAATGAGATGAAGAGTGTTGTTGAGCATTGTTCAGGTACTGGGTACGGTACAGAGACATAATGGGTCCTGGTGTCAGAGGAAATGATGCTGCCGCACCATACCATCATTTACTAGGTGACTTACATCCGGAGTCATTTCTGCGTGAGTTTAATCTTAGTAGTTGTGTGCAGGTGTTATTTGGTGAATTGTTGTTAACATATCTTAGTTATGTCAACGGTATCTTCCTTCAAGCGAGAGTCGCCTGATGAATCTCAGATATCTGCATGTGCTTGCCGTAGTCTCCATGCCTGTCTGCATGCTTATTGTTCAGAATGTATTAACCTGCTTTCTTTTTTCCTTGTTTCCTGCCTGCCTCAGCCCACCTTCTACCTGGTATTGTTCTTAACTAGAATGAATGCGGCTTCCATTGGCATGAGGAAGAAGGAGAGACACAGCATTGATTTAACATGAATTATGTCAATGAATGAGGTGACATATAAAAATTTGTGATCATATTTAGTCAAGTTATAATGGGAATTGAGACACTGTATAGTTGATTGAATTACATATTTAAGTTTAACTGTTCTCTGTTATAATTAAGATCATTAAGTATTTGTAATTATGATGTCCTATTGGGGCTTCATCATATATTTCTAGGAAGTGAGAGGCTGATTTTTTCTTCAGGTAAAATTTTGGAGAATTAGAAAACCTTGATGGAGTTTGCTGCTGTGGGTGCTTTGCGACACCAAGTTATGAACTGAGTTGCAATGAAACAGATGTGGCAATGAACATGAAAAAGCTTCAGTGATGTGTCGTGTTGTAGAGATTTGATGAGAATGGATCTAGTACTGGTGAAGTTGCATAGCACAAGTGTGTCTTAATGACAGTGGAAATGGGACCGCCACACCATACCAAGAATGTGGGGTAAGTTTTACAGCAGGAGAGTGCTTAATAGGAGTTATATTGGTTGTTCTCTGCTTTTAGACTTTTTTTTTCAGGTATTAAATTTTGGGTTTTTATGCATGTGGTTGTTGTGAAGATGGGTTGTTTGTTCAAGTGATACTTGCCTGTCTGTTTCAGCCTGCATTTTGCTTCCTCTTTGATCCTGCGTGATTTCCTTCCTTCTTTGCTATGCATACAGGTGGCATTATTCTTGCATTGTAAGTATGGGGCTTCCATTGGACAAAGAAAGTAAAAATGTTAACTATTTCTTTAGCATGAAATGTTTCACTTAGTTATGTAAGATAAGGACCGGACATGGTAGCCAAGCGGTGTAAGGCATGAACTGTCTTCCCTCGCATGGAAACCGGAATTGTGGGTTGGAATCCCACTGATGGTATAGAAGTTTAGTTTGTGTGTGTGTATTTATCTGTGTTTGTGTACAGGTAGAGGCCTCTCGACGAGCTGATCACCCGCACAAGGAGTCGTACCGAATGTGTGAGATCTAGGAAAATTGAAGTGAACGGAGAAGGTGAAGGGGGTAGGCCTAGGCCCTCTGCGCCTGTAGTGGGAAAGAAAAATATGATGTAAGATAAGGAAATGTGACGTAGTTGATTTCATTTGTAACTTAATTTGATGAGTTTCATATAGTGTTTGACTTGCATTTTTGATTAACAGTGTTCTCTCTCTCTCTCTCTCAATTTAGGTAATCAATATTTGTTATTCTAAAGTTTCCGTTGAGCTTCAAGATATATATCTGTGAAGCAAGTCAATTTCTTGTCCTAGAGGCCATATTCTGGAGACTAAGATATCGTGGGAAGCTGCTTATATTGGTGGCCTTGTGTCACCATCAATAGAAGTTAGCGGCAATGTGACAAGTCAGACTGAATGAGCTGGGAAACGTCAATGGAATGTGGTAAAAGGTGTTGTTGAGAATTGATCAGCTGCTGGGTATGTTACAGAGACATAATGGGCCCTTGTGTCGGTGCAAATTATACCGCCACACCATACCAACTTTTACAAGGTGACGTACATGAGGAATGCCTTCTGCGTGAGTTATCTTAGTAGTTGTGTGCACGTGTTTCATGTTGAATTTTTGGTAAAATTTC